GAAGGGGTGGGGTTGAGTTCGAAACAAACCCTTGGAATCGCTTTATGTATCTCACAGTTGAGATGTGGGATTTTTCCAGGACGCCCCTGGCTGGTCTCTCAGTTTGTCTGCCTCTGTCAGTCGGTCTTGCTTTTTCCCCAGTACTAAAAATGATGCCACTGACTGAAGTGTCTTTAGGCCATCCCTAAAGGGGGGACATTTTTCTCGTTCATGCACAGTAGAATTGTAAATGGGCTGATTCATCAATGTCACGCTCATAACTGTGCCTGATCTACAACAGCGAACTGCTGCTTTTTCTTTCCTAATCCTTACTATTGTCATTTTTCCTATACTTCTTTTGTATGTTTGTCACACTCTTGTGACCCGCTATTTCCGGGGTGCCTTGAAAGTCGAAACAGACTTTGTGCTGTTGAAGCTAGAGAGGTGAGCAGAGTAGGTCTGATTCCCTGTAAAGACTTCTCTGTTGACATCCACCTCTTGGCGCTCATATGACCTTATGCAGATGCGAGTGCCGTAAGACCTCTACTGAATAATAATAAAAAATGATGCCAGCTATTGTCTTGATGTGCTTCTCATTACCCAGACTAAACTTTCAAGTAGGGTGGTTGGCGGGTGCTCTGGTATGGTTTGCGGGTTTGCTCCTTTTTTCCTATCAAACGTCTATCGTCCTTATCTTTAGGCGCGCTCATATGACCCTATATGCAGCTGCGAGCGCCGTAAAACACTTACCAAAAACAAAAATCTAATCTTTTGGCACTTACGTGACCTTATTATGTTTCAAAAATGCCGTAAAACCCTTACTAAAATTTAAAAACTACTTTCCAGACACAGAGAAGACAGCTTTGATTTTGAAGATCATAACAATAAATTTGTATCACGGACTCTGTCAGTTCACTGGTGACAGTTAAGATATGTGGTTGGGAGGTTGGTGGGTACCCCTAGTTGATCCTTTTGTTCTTTGCAATCTCGTGTCTGTTTGTTGTTTTTTGTTTGCCTTGTATTGCGTTTTGTCAGTTTTTATCGACCGCTGTTGGGTCAACATGTGTTCGTTTACTGTAACAAAATACATGTACATTTCGGAGCTTGTTGAGTTAGTTTGCCACTTGATAATTTCCACTGAGCAGAGGCGTTTGAAAACTTTACTGATTCCTTGTTTTGCGTGGCCTTTCTTTGTTCAAGTGCTTATTAATCTTTTTCTCTTTGTGTGTGTGTCGTGTGATTCTGGCTTGCTGGTTATCTGTCAGCTTGTCGATCTGTCTGTCTGCCTGTCTGTCAGTCTGTGTGTTGTCTGTCTGTCTGTCTGTCTGTATGTTGTATGTCTGGCTGGCTGGCTTCTGTTTGTCTGTCGGTCTGTCTGTCTGTCTGTCTGT